CTTTACCTCTTTCTCTTCCTCTTCCTCTTCCTCTTCCTCTTCCTCTTCTTCCTCTTATTCCTCTTTCTCTTTCTCTTCCTCTTTCTCTTTCTCTTTCTCTTCCCCTTCCTCTTCCTCTTCTTCTTCCTCTTCCTCTTCTTCCTCTTCCTCTTCTTCTTCCTCTTCCTTTTCCTCTTCTTCCTCTTCCTCTTTCTCTTCATCTTTCTCTTCCTCTTCCTCTTCCTCTTTCTCTTTCTCTTTCTCTTCCTCTTCCTCTTCCTCTTCCTCTTCATCTCCCTCTCCCTCTCCCTCTCCCTCTCCCTCTGGCTGATAAGACCCACGTCCTTCACTTCTGTATCCATTCTGTCCAAAGCAAAATTCGCGGCTATGATATCAATATCATCGGTATACGACGGTTGCTGTACACTCTTTTAGAAGGTTATACCATCTCTATTCAACTCAGCAGATCGTATTATTATAATGACATAAGGAATCAAATTTCCTGAAACCTCGTTTCATGTAGAAAGACCTGAAGAGGTCTTTCCTGATCCGGACAGAGCTTTTGGTATTGCTTAACGTCACTTTACGCAGGCGTTTAAGTTTTGTGCGGATACCAAATTCAGAAAAAGGGACTAGGATGTCGAAACAGTTTTTACATCGCCGAAGAGGTGGTGGGTGTCTTTTCATGGATATTTTCAAAAAATTTACGCATGGTGAATATCTGGTCAATTTTTTATTTACCAGGTATAAAGACACACTGATGAGATCCATTCAGTTTGTTAACGGTGAGCTTTAGTCTCTCACACAATACGCTTGATAGAACCTTATATACGATATTGAGGAGGCTCATCCCACGGTAAAAGATTGTGGCATAGTCCTTTTTGTGGATTGTGGAGAGCAAACTTAGCTTTCAATCCCGCTAGGTACCTGATGCCTTGATACACCTTGTCAGCTCTCCGCTGCCATGTTTGAATAGCTCTGCCGGTAGACCGTCAGCTCCAGCCGCTTTGTTGTTCTTTAAATTGGTAATCACTATTCGATTTCCGCCACAGTTGGGTAATGGAATGTCTTTTCCATCGTCATCGATTGGGATCTCGGGTTCACCATTTCTGTTTGTTCTATTTCACTGTCATTTAGCGGGCCGCAGAAGTGTTCCCTCCATAGATTCAATATGCTCTGGGCATCCGTCACTAGATCTCATCTCTGTGTTTTACAAGAGTTTGCTCCGGTCTTGAGACCTTCTGCAAGTATCTTTTCGTAGAATTTTCGAGCATTGCCCTTGTCGGCCAGCTTCTGATGCTCTTCATACTGACGCATTTCGATCTCTTTTTTTTTGTCTTTTTTTTTTTGACTGCAAATGTTTCTTCCTTTCCTCTTCAGCTCTCTGTATTATTTTTTACTTCACCATATATTAAAATTTCTCTTACTTATATACTCTACCCTTACATTGGTACACCAAAGAACCCAAATCATTTTATGCGTTATTATATATGTATGTATGTATATAATACCAAAGGGGCGGCAATGAAACACTCAAAGGCATTGCTTTCAATTCCCAACATCATTAGAGGCACACACACATACATACATACATATCTACATACATACATACATATGATGTTGAAAGCTCGAAAAAGGTCCCAAGAACCACATATATTATACATACATATTTACAAGTATGTGTATATGAATATTAAATAGCGAAATAAATGGTAAATGACAAATTAAATGAGTGAGTTATTAAATTTAATGTGAAATTAAGTTTTAACCAAAAGGGGGGATTTTGGAACTCATACATACATAAGTACATATGAAGTTATCAAATGTACTAATTAAAATAAAAAATTTAAAAAATTAAATAATAAAAAGAATTTAAAATTTTTTCCAAAAATATAAAAAAATAAGCAAAAATAAAATAAAACAAATATAAAATAAATTAAATAAAGAAAAATTAAATTAAATAATTTTTAAAAAACAAATAAATAACAAATAATAAAATGGAATAAAAAAATTAAAATAAATCAAACTAAGTAACATTAAAATAATATAATTAAAACCAAAAATAATATAAAATAAGTCAATCAAAATTCTACATTTGGTCAAGTAAAAAGTTCTTTCGGTTTTTTTTTATTGATTTTTCAAAATATGATAACATAGTGTACATTTGTCCGATTTAAGTCAAATATGCCAAAGAGATGCCAACTTCATTTTACCCCTCTCGTAGAGAGCTGCGTCCCTATTGGCAAAAACTCGGAGAGCCAATCTTCACAGGCCTCTATTTTGGGGCCAACTTCTCACCATTAAGCGCGTTCGCCATTGACACGGTGCCACGTCCGGACTATAAGGTGGGTGCATTAGGACCTCCCATCCGAGCTCCTGGAGCTTCTGGCGCGTCACCAAAGACTTGTATGGCCTGGCGTTGTCCTGATGGAACACAGTTCGGCCTCTATTGTTCAAAGATATCATCTTTTGGATGAGTGCTGCCTTCAAGTGGTCCATTTGTTGGCAGTAGAAGGTCGAATTGAGCGTTCGACTACAGGGGAATAGCTCGTAGTAGATTATTTCTTGCCAATCCCAACAAACACACAGCAAAACCTTCCTGGCCGTCAATCCGAACTTGGCCACTGTCTGGGCCGCTGACCCGAGCTTTTACCACAACCGTTTGCACTCGATGTTGTAGTAAATGACCCATTTGTATCACCAGTCTCAATCCACTTCAGAAACGGATCGATTTTCTTGCTTTTCAGCAGTAATTCGCACCCAAACATAGAGCTTCTTTTTGAATCCAATATTATGCAAATGGTTCCAAACGGTTTACTGGTTTATCTTTAGTTCCTCAGCAATTAAATAATTGCTCACGTGACGGTCTGTTTCCACTATTTCCATGATTTTATCGCAATTTTCGACCACAGGCCTCCCGACGCGTGGTGCATCTTTTTCACCAAAACTACCGGAACGGAACCTTGCAAACCACTTGTGTGCTACACGTTCGCTTATAGTATCGGGCCAATAAACTAAATTAAGAAATCACAGGCTGCTATATCCGCGGAATATGGCGCTGGAGGTGTTTCTTCGATGCCAGAGATCGCAATAAAATTACTCGCTATTTCAGCAGCGTGGGATGGCGCGTTGTCATGATGTAAAAAGTAGCGTCGCAAATCCTCTTTTTTCCTGTTTCCCAAGAAGTTTTTGAAAACTTTTGATAAGCACTCTTCGATGTTTCATTTTACAGTTACCGTCTGACCCTTGTCCTGTGGTATAACTTCTACGATTTTAGATCGGTTGAAGTAAATTGGCATCATTACTTTTGCTGCTGATTTTTGTTGCTTAGATTTTACGGGTAGGGTTGCTCTTATTGGGCTCTATACCATGGACTGCTGTTTGGTTTCTGGATCCTACTTATAGAACGAAGATTCCTCACCAGTAGCGGCTTTGCTAAAGTTGCTAGACTGACCATTTTAAATTTTTTTTTGGAAAAATTTAGTAAAAACGCACTCGAGCTTCTTTTTGGGTCTCATTTAAAGCTCGTGTATTCCATAAAACTCGTGTATCCCAGATGATTATTTAATATTACAATGATACAGCCATGGCGTTCAAGGCGACTTCATTAGCAATCATTTCTTGTGTCAATCGTGGCTCTTCGTCAATTTTGGACTTCACCAAAGCTACGATGGCGTCATCGACGCTCAACCTCCTGTCCTATTGGAAATAGTCTTTAAAGAGCAATCGTTCCATATGCAATGTGGCGTTCACTGAATATTTGTATTGGCTGTAAATTATGGCTGATATGTGAAGGGAAGACTAATAAAGTAGCTGCTGGGCGGTATCTCAGTCATAACTTGACGAATGTTAGTTCTCATAGACTACAGAGTTAAAGGTTTATACACATAAACATCTTCTTTCGCATAGTCTCACAAAAGAAAAGTCCAACTGTAACAAATCTCACGATCCCGGCGGCCAATTGACATCACCAAGACGAGAGATTACGCGGCCGGAAAATTACTCTCGGTACCATTGGTACCATCTTGTTGAAACCACCTATTGTCCAAGCCATGATGTGCAACTGCAGACCAAAAAAAGTTGGTTAGCACACGACTATAACTCTCCAAATTAACGGTGATGGTCTCGCCGTTGTCTTTTCCAAACAAGTAAGGCCCAATCACACCATCGAACCAAAGAGCGTACCAAACAGTAATTTTGGCCTCTCTTCAATCATTTCAGTATTCTCTGATATCCAAATTTGACGATTTGGCTTATTTATGTATCCTTCCGCGTGAGAAATGTATCACCTCGCTAAAGAAATTTTTGCTATGATAAAAAAAATCGTTGTCCACAGCTTGTTGTTCAAGCAGCCAACAGACTTATATACGGCATTGCGAATGGCCAGCTGTCTCCAGTGCATGCTGAAATTTATATGGAGGTAGGTCTAAGTCCGTGTGCAAAATATGCCATAATGTCACCAAAGAAAGTCCCAACCCTTGAGAACGTCGGCAAATTGGCATATACCGGTCTTAGGTTACACCTTCACTTCCATAAATAGTGTCAACGCTTAAGGTGTAACGAGCAAAACGATGATGCATAGACTTTACAGTATCTGTAACCGATCCCGTCCCTTAAAATTACCTTAAAAGTTTACGAATTGCTTTAGTAGTGCAAACTGGCTTTTCACATCTTCCGTAAAAGACTGACTTAGTCCTAAATAATTTACCCAGACGGCACTACTCCGCAACCATCAAAAGTGTGTAGCCATCAGAGCAGGGACTCATATATTCAGAATCCCAATAGGCGATGAGCAAGCAACGACAACCTACCCAAAAACTGAGGAAGCTGCTTAATCGGAAATCTCAAGCTCTCCATATAAACAAATTGGGAGTGTCCCTTTCGCGATACTGCCGCAGATGACACTACCTTAACCTTCGGTAAAATTCACAGTATAGGTCTTTAAAGGCCTTGGTTTTAGTAATTAATAATTTTAACCCAACGAGCCCTGCATAATATCTTTGTATATTTTCTCTTTACAGACTGTTTCTCCTATGAAATGGCCGATCAGTGTGATGCCGTCAACGGTACCTTCTACTTGCGGACATGTTATAATATCAGTTACGCAGAAGAGCACAATATTACCGAGTTGGCGTTACACGCGCTGAAACGACCACCAGCTGAGGAGTATTTTACGTAGGTCCACAGAAGATAACAACGCATGGTTTCAATTATATTAATTAATAATTTTGTATTATTTTTTTCAACCACACAGTAACTACGTGCTCGGCTTATCTTCGGGTATTGAAGAGACTGGCGGCATAAAGGTCGAACTTGCTGCCTGCCTATTCGTCGCTTGGGCTATAGTTTTTCTGTGTCTCTGCAAAGGTGTACAGTCCTCAGGGAAAGTAGTTTACTTCACAGCGCTCTTTCCGTATGTGGTGCTGGTTATACTCTTCTTCAGAGGTGTCACATTACCCGGCGCCAAGACGGGCATACTCTTTTATTTAACACCAGATTTTAAGCAGTTGGCTAATGCACAGGTAAGTCGATTGGAGGGCATGATGATCCTTTTACTTTGACGAGTTAATATATCTCTCTTTCTCCTCTTTTCTCTATCTCTCTTTCTCTCTTCTGTATCTCTCCCCTTTTCTCTCTCTCTCTCTCATCCAGGTCTGGGGTGATGCCGCAGTGCAAATATTCTTTGCGCTGAGTCCTGCCTGGGGCGGTCTCATCACATTGTCTTCGTATAATAAGTTCTCCAACAATTGTTACAAGTAAGTTGACGTCCATATATGTTACGTGTCTTCTTGTTAATGCGTTCATTCTCTTTTTCAGAGACTCTTTAATCGTCGCCATTTGCAATATAGCCACCTCGTTCTTCGCCGGCTTGGTTATTTTCTCCATCATCGGTTTTCTCGCACACGAGTTGGAGGTGGAAGTGAAGAAAGTGGTCGATCAAGGTGCTGGTCTGGCGTTCATAGTTTATCCAGAAGTAGTGACCCGACTACCAGTCTCGCCCGTTTGGTCGGTACTATTTTTTGTCATGTTACTTACACTGGGGTTGGACTCACAGGTACGTATGGCTTTGAGGGCAATTGATTACGTTGATATTAAATATAAAAGATTTTTATCTTGCTCTTTTTCTTCTCACCAACACACAGTTCGCCCTAATGGAGACCGTAACAACTGCCATATTGGATAAATTTCCCAATTTACGACAATATAAAACATGGGTTGTGCTTTTTGTTGGTATTTTTGGTTATATCGGTGGGTTGGGATTTACCACGAATGTAAGTGAAATGAAGAGTATTAAAGTAAAATATTGTTAAAAGAAACAAAGCAAATAATATAATAAACAGCATAAAATGAAATAGAGAAAAATTAAATTAAATAAAATAAATTAAATAAAATATAGTAAAAAAATTAATGTAGAATAAAACAAAACGCAATAAAAATATATAAAATAAAAATTTTATAATTTAGAATAAAAAAATTAAAATAAAATATAAAATATAAAAAACAAAATATATAAAATGGAAAATAAAATTCAATCAACTAAAATAAAATACGATAAAAATGTAAAAACAAAATAAAATAAGTTAAAATAAATTAAAATAAATAGTAAAAAATAAAAAATAACAAAATAAAATATTTAAAAAAATTAAATATTCATAAAAAATGAAATAAAATAAATAAAAAAATTAAATATAAATAAATAATGAAATAAAATAAAATAAAAATTTAGCATAATAAGAGCAATAATAAAATAACATAAAAAATAAAATAAATAAAATAGTAAAATCAAAATAAAAAATAAAATAAAATAAAAAATTACAAAATAAAATAATTAAAAAAATTTAAAAATTAAAATAAATAAAGTTTGACAGGTTGCTTGATCACGGAACCCTGACCTATTGGCCCGTTGTGATACCTATGTTGGTCCTGATAAAGAGATCCCCTGCACCCTTCATAATGTTCAAGGCCCTTGGTGTGTTTTATGAAATTCAGGAGATCAGTAACGCCTACCGACGCAAATTCTGCAAGGCAAGAAGAAGAAGAAGGCAGAAGAAATTTCCGGGAAAAATCATAACGAACCGCACTAAGAGCTGGGTAGTGACAGTGGTGGTATCCCACCTATCCCTCCTTATTTATGTCCCTACAACTGCAACACAAGTCGTTTGAGAAGTAGCCCAGTCTTCTATCAGCCCAATATCCACAAGACAGTCCCCGGTTAATATGCTTATGGATGTCCAGTTTAGAAGAAGTAAAGATTAATTATTAACCAAATTTGTCTTGTCACATTGCACGTGGTTTTGCTCTGCCATCTGTTGTTGATCCTTCTTTTGAAAGCTGGTCTTAGCTAATAATTTCCAGAGTTTACCGTAAAGAATGACTACAGATTTGTGATCCAGAACTGCTGCATTTTCCCCACTCGCTTCTCTCTGACGGAATTGACTTAGTCCACCGCTTCCGAAATTGATGTAGAATTTAGTATTTGGACGTATCCTATGCGGTTTCATTCAGTCTTCTGGTATTGCAGGCCCCATGAAGTTTCCCCTATAATAGAATTTCAAAGGCTTTTGTAGGAGTTGAGGGCAGCGCACCAGTAATGAATATGGAGGCTGTCCGCTGGACTTTTTCCAACTTACTGCTATAGGTAGCCTTGTCTAGTGCTGGCCATCAGACAGTGAATGGGTCTTATTACCGCTTTGTTGAGCCAGTACACAATATGAGATCTTAGGACTCATCTCTTACCGATCAGCGCCTTGCTTTCTTGCACCTTTCTACCGTGTTAAGGTTACAGATAAGTTTGTGTCCTCGATTTAGAATAGGTATTAAACCTCAGTAGAAAGAGCGATCTCGGATCTTTGAGTAAGGGTGGCTTGAAGGCAGGCAGAGTACTAGTTTAATCTTTGCAGAATTTACATCCCGACTGCCCGCATTACAGCAGCTCCTTATTGTGTGAAAGGCTTTTTTAAGCAGATTCCTTAGGACCTGGAGGACAATGTAGTCGCGAGGGACATCTCGTCGCAGCCCGTATTTATTAGCTTGAAAAGCAGCTGCAGGAGTTCCTCTATTGGCATACCTGTTAACTGATGCGCGTCCTAATTCAACGAAAAATTGGTCTGTTTATTAAGAGAGATTTTACGAGATTCACTACTCGCGCCCCGAGATCCGTTTCTCGGAGTGCAATCGTTACTATTCCTTATTAGATATTATTAAAGGCTCCATCGATGTCGAGAAACATGTTCAACGTGTTCTCTTTGACGAGGCAAGACCTCTCTCATCCTCGTGACAATGTCATGAAGAGTGGTTTCTACAGATTTGCCTTTGGATTAGACATTCTGGTTACCCATTAGGTTATTTTGAAGTATCGCTTGATGTATATAAGCGTCGAGCATTCTCTCTAAGATTTTTAATAGAAAATATGAAGGCTACTGGTCGAAAACCATTTGGACTTATAAGACTTTTCCTGGCTCCCTTTAGTATGAAGATCACGTTCGCCATGGTCTACATATGGAAAGACCGGCTGAGTTAATACTACATAATAAGGGGACAGGATATTCGTCACTGCTTGTAGTACGGTGAGAAAGATTTCATAAAGTCCTGAAAATGAAAAGGTTGGAAGGAACTTATTGCCCATTCCACTTTACTGCAGCTTATGATGTTGCCTATATCTGATTCAGCGTTTACGTATAGTCTTCTGGTGAACGTAATATCCATCGGGAGACCCTGGAAAATGGGTGCTCATTAGAATATCTAGCATTTCCACGCAAGATGTTGTGCATTCCCCATTTGGTTTCTTGATATAGTTCGGCATTACAGAGGCCCCGGAGAGGACCCTTTGTTTATTCCTTCTGTGTTCAATATATAAAATTAAAAAAATAAAAATTAAAAAAAATTAAAAAATGGAAGGAAAATAAAATGAACTGAAAAGTATAGTAAAACTATATCCAAGTATGTATATATATGTCTTCCTTCCTTCAGAGCGGCATGTATTGGCTGCAGCTAATGGATAAATACGCTGCTAATTGGTCGGTCCTCCTCATCGCCATATCCGAGTGTGTTCTAATTGCTTGGATTTATGGCTCGCAACGTTTCCTCAACGACATACAGGGTATGATTGGCAAGCGTTCGAAATTCTGGAATGCCTTTTGGTCGGCAATGTGGCGTTATATAACGCCAGCGACATTATTGGTAAGTAGTGAGAGACTTCTGGGCTGTAAGTTTACAAATCTACTTAACATCTTTATGCTTCCAGTTCATATTATTCTTCAATTGGGTTGAATACAAGCCAGCCTCATATGGTCACTACGTCTACCCGCTATGGGCGGATGCAGTCGGTTGGTTTATTGGCCTCTTGCCGGTACTCTTCATCTTCCTCATAGCCTTCCAACAATTCTGCAAAGCACCCAAACAGCTTACAATCAAAGAGCGTCTTAAGCTTTTACTACGCCCCACAGCCGAGTGGGGACCCGCGGGACGACCTTGTGTCAATTTACATGCCGAACGCTATGACAGTCAAAACTATGATGTGGTAGCCAATACACAGGTACTCATCAATGGCCTACCCGCCGATGTGTCGCCCTATGAGGACAACAGCAATGGATATCGCGACGAGGCGATGCAACTCTGAGAGCGAGTGAGCGCATCGTCGACGTCAGCGCTGGCGGGTAAGACGAGCACTGCTGTTGTGCGCATGAGTGAACACGTCGACGATGGTATGGGCTTGCGGATGAGTGCGGCTAATGGTGCTGGAAATGGTGCGGGTGGTACGGCTGGTGGCGGTAGTGGTGGCGGCAGTGGTGGCGGTGGCGTCGGCGGTGCAGTAGTGACGATTAGGAATGGCAGTGTAAGTTACAATCGAATCACATTTTATATTTGCTTTATGTTTACTGAAATTATTACACGGTTTTGTTTCCAGCACACCGATTACGGCACGGCAGTGGCTATCAAGACATCTAGCGCGACCACGACCGCAAAACTGCCCGGTCCCAGTATATTGAAGGGTTCGAAGAGCAATCAAACAGCCATCAACGGGCGTAATAAAGCTCTCACACAGCCCGAGGCGAGTCCCAGCCGACAGCCATTAATAGAGGCGGAATTGCGTGCGAACGATAGTGTCGGCTCATTCCTGAATGAAGCCGCGGCGTTGGCTCAACGAAAAACTCAGGCGGCAAATGGCCAAACGGCCGAGTCGGCTGATAAAATTACTAAAGTAACTGCCAGTATTATATTGCCAACGAAACCGGTAATAACAACTACAACGCCCGCCGCATCCAACACAACAGCAACAACAAAAGTGTTGGTCGCCGGCACAATGAGTAGTGGGCGGGAGCGTACGCTTACCACATTCGGTGAGCGAGGTGTGGTGCCGGGTGCCGAGGCGGAGCCCGCAACAGTGACGAGCTCGAAAGTAAGTACAGCAACAGCAACAACAACAAAAAGCTTTGCTGTCAACTCAACGGGATTGACTAAAGCGACGACAAGTACTGTCGGCGCCGGTTTATCGAGCTCAAAGCCATCCCCAGTTGGTGGCGTTAAGTCGGACATAAGTCCAGCAATAACAACAAAAGCTCCAGCTACAACAAAAAGTCAGCAGCCGCTCACAACCAATACTGCCAATACGAAACCGGTTGCTGCGGAGCTCAAAAGTGCGACGGCCGTGTCGAAACCCGCACCGTTTACTACAACAACAACAACAATAACCACATCGACAACAGCTTCCAAGCCGTTGGCTGCAACAATTAGCACTGCAGCAACAGCAACAATTACCAAACCAAAGCTGGCTGCTTTGCCGTCGACAGCAGCAGCGACAACAACAGTTGCACACGCCGTTAAAACGCCAATTGTTGCAATCACAACAACAACAGCAGCAGCAGCAGCAACAAAGCCGTCAGTGGCCGCAACGATGGCTAAGCCTACTCCAGCAACAACAGCTGCAACAACAACAACAGTCGTGCAAAAAACAATAACCATAACAACCACAAGCCCTACAACTACAACAGCAATTACTACACCGCCAGCGTCATTGTCAGCAGCAAAAAGCAGTACTATCGCCACAACTAAAACAACAACAGGCGTTTCGAAGCCTACAACAGCAACAACAAGCGCGTCTCAACCTGCAACAACAGTTGCTGCTTCCAAATTGATTGCTGAAAGCAAATCCGCTACGGCAGCAGCAACAATAATAACAACTACAACTACTACAGCAATGGCCGCCGCTAAGCCGGCAACAACAGCAACAGCAGCAGCAACAACAAACAAATCGACGCCACAAGCAGCGCCACAACAACAAATAAGCAAACCGCCAACTATAACAACAAAATCTACAACAGCCCCAACAACTGCCAAAGTGTCAGCTCCAGCTGGCACAACTTCAACAGCAAAAACAACAATAACGACAAATGTCACAAGTGCAAATTTGACTAAAATATCAGCAGTAACACCAACAACAAAAATAGAAGCAACTAATACGCCAAAACAAACTACAACAATACCAACAACAACCACCACCACCGCTAAGACAACAACAGCTACTACAAGTTCAGCGACCGCGGCTGCAGCTCTGCCTCTACCTCAGACGCAGCCAACGAAAATTGCTGCACCGCAAGAAATTAATGCAAAAACAACAAAACCAGTTACAACAATTTTATCTACAACGCTGACGGCAGATGCGCGCTTGCCGACAATGACAACAACAACAACCACAATAACGGCGGCAAAGGCAAAATCAACAACTCCAACAACAACATCGGCTGCAATAACATTATCAGCGGTGCCAAAAACTGTAACAACAACATCGGCAGCAGCATCGTCTGCAGCCATGCCGAAAGTCGCAGCTGCAATAACAAAAACAACAACACCTCTTACGACCAAGTCAATAACCGTTGTTACTACTACTACAACTACAACTACTACTACAGTTACTGGCTCAACGACTACAACAACAACTACCGCCACAAGTGCTGTAAGCCGAAAATAATTGTAAGTCAAAAACTAATACTACTTTACTTTCGCTCACACACATACACACACATACGCAAAACACACATATATGTATGTGCGTATGCTATTTAACCTAGAAGAATATGAAAATTTATAACAGTAGACATATGTATATATGTATATGTATACATGTAGGCACTCAAAAGATCAACGATTACACTGTGCGACATAATATTGTGCCCAGAATAAAAATATATATATATATTTTATTCATCACTATAATGTCAGGTTCAAATATTATTAAAATTGTAGTCTGTGATTTGTTTTTTGACGTCAGAGTTTTTCATTAAAAAAAATGTTTAACAAAGTGAATTTAGAATATGAAATACTAAAAAAACGATCAACCTGAAAAAGAATATTGAAAAGTAAAATTTTCGATGATTACCCATGAGGACAAGCTACAATAATATTATCTGTTGATCTAAACGGGTGACAGCCCTTGGCGGGATAAAATCCGAATCAACTCCGGTACGTAGAAGCGACTGTCGTGAGAGTTGAAAGAGAGTTCACGACTTTCAGGCCTACATTAATCACCACCTACAACAACCGCTGTACAGGACGGCTTACCGACAGGCATTAAACGCCATTTACCGAGTAGCCGCCGACACCTTCCTGAACTCTTTCCCATTGAATGGCGTTCTCGAAGTCAAAACAGTACCCTTAGATGACGAAGATCTCGAGCTGTCTCGACAGTCTGGCGCTGCTTCGATTTGGATATTGTAGTAGACTAAACTCCTACCTATTAAGACTTGACCCCAACAAACTCAACATATTGCCTTCATGCAATGAGATCCCATACGACACCAACCACCACCACATTGTATGCCCTCTAAAGCAACTTACTTAACAACGCTTTCCCCTCTGTTCTGAACTCCTCGTTTCTTGGACGTCCCGCTAGATGACCTCGCTGACTTAAACTGGTCTAGCTAACTCCTAAGCCGAGCTAGCGAACAACAAAAACAGCTTCACAAGCTCTTAATACGCCCACCCTTAAACTTCTTCCTTTTTCTTTTGCCGGAAAATGCGTCTTCAGCTCTTGGTATCTATTTCATCCCGAACGTAGCGTGGTCGATTGCAACGTTGCGTACACAATTTGTATTCTGCTTACTGCTGTCCGACATTCCTCATATCGTGTCAGCAATTTAGCCGAAGTTATCGAAATTCAGCTGTTCTTATACTGGAGATAAGTTGTCGAAGTTGCTGATGGGTGCACTCACATAAGAAGAGTTTAGCTTTCTATTGTTATGCCATCATTTTGACGTGGAACCTTCCCTTCTTGTATTTGCAAGATCAGAGTCGATATAAGGTCCTCGGACCCTACGTATTTTTAAAACACTGCATGGTTCGTTCTGGAGGCAGTCGAGTAGCTTGATGAATTTTCTTATGGCGGAGTCTGGTGCTACACATCGCCATATTTTGGAAGAAAATCGACCTTTGTTGATGTTTCGTCGTGGGGACTGGATTTACCGGCCGTTAGACCGGAAATGCCTTCTTTGCCCACAGTGGCATTACAGTTGCCAGCGGTGGCAGATACATTCTAGCATCTTTGATTTACATCGTACTTCTCCTTCGTGACAGCAAAGCATCTCTAAGTTGAAGACCTTCCTTTTGTTGCGGATTGCGGATTGCAGCTAGACCAGATTTGCACTCTTTTATATGACCGATGTAGTAGTTTTAACAAAATCCCACTATTTTCTTTCCTCATCTTGTACATCGAACATCTTGGACTACCGTGATGTGAGCCTATAGTCTTATGAGGATATACACCAGCTGGCCAGCGGCACCTTCCCAATTAAGGAACCGGATATTCCATCTGCATATCCTCAAATTGTGATCCTTAGAATTCCGTATTTTTCCATATTTTTGTCGCACAGTGTAAGGGCATTGCCTAAATACCTAAAATATAATACTGAATACATAAAAAAAATCGAAATAATATATATACTCGGTGCTTATGTATGTATGTGACATAAATAGTTGGAACAATATTACTTACATAATTAGCATTAAAAGTTAAATTAAAAACAATGAATATACGAACGAAAATGTATTCCAACAAAGTTATATACCCTCTATGCATAGTAGTATTTGGTATAAGGTAATTATAAAAATGTTTCAGTTAAATATTTAGTAATACTTTAACTCTAAGCAACAACAATGGCGTTTAATATTAAGAAAAAAACCTAAAAAGTGTACCTAACCTAACTATTTACTACTATTTAATATGTTGCTAAAATATATATATGACTATATATATATATATATATATATATATAATATATAATACCAAAGACGTAAATTAAACGCATCATATATATATATATATAAACATTTTTATATTATATGTAAAAACTATAAATACTTTTAGATGAAACTTAAAAGCGGAATTTCAGTTGCCATAAGTCAATGGAAAGTGTTGCCAAATATTTAGAAAGAAATTACAAAAAAGTGCATACCACAAAATGTAGGCAATGAGTGGTTGAGTTAATTATTTTTAATTATTTAAAATATTAAATAAATAAAAAATAACTCTGCAAATGTTTGCTAAAGTGAGGTTATGTTGAGGAGTAAAGAGTGTTTAAATTGCGCCGAAAAAAAACTTTGTTAAACAAATTAATATTTTTGAATGTTATTATTTTAGTTTAATTGTTTTAAATGAATTGTATTATATTTATTGAAAGTTTACAATATATTGTATTTAAGCCGTTTTTTTTGGGCCAATTCGTTTTTGCTGCACAAATATTTGTTGTAATTTAGTTTATTTAATTTGCATATAAATATTTTTTGCTATAATTTGTTGCTTTTAATTTTTTAGTATCTTTGTTCTAACGTAATATACTTTGAATTTTTTATTATGATTTTATTTTTTTTTATTTAATTTTTTCCTTTCCTTACAATTTTTGTTCTAACTTAATTTAATTTTTTGTTATATCAAACAGATTGTTTTCTAATCTTAATTTTTTGTTGCAAATATTGAATTAAATAAATATTATTCAATTTTCATTTAATTTTTTCTTAGATTCTTTCATTCTTTTTTCGTTATAATAAAGAAAATTAAACTATTTCAATTTTTTTCTTGTTAATTTTATTATAATATAATTAAATTAAATTTTTGTTCTACTTATTTATATTTTCATTATAAATTAATTTAATTATTTTATTGTTTTTATGGTATGCAAATTTAGTTAATTTAATTTTTTTATTATTTTCATAGTAGTAAATTAATTTAATTTAATTCTTTTATTTGCTTGCTATTTTTATTGTAAATAAATTAAGTTTTGGTTCAACTTATTTATACTTTTATTCTAATTTAACTTCATTTTTTTATTATTTTTATTTAAATTAATTTAATTTAATTTTTTTATATTTTCTTGTTATTTTTTTAATAAATAAATTAAGTTTTGGTTCAACTTATTTATATTTTTATTATAATTTAATTTAAATTTTTTAATATTTGTATGTAAATTAATTTGATTTTTTTTTTAAATTTTTTTTTGTTATTTTTATAATAAATAAATTAAGTTTTGGTTCAACTCATTTATATTTTTATTATAATTTAATTTAGTTTGTTTATTATTTTTATGTTAATTAATTTAATTAAATTTTTTTATATTTCCTTTTTATTTTTATTATAGATTAATTAAGTTTTGGTTCAGCTTATTTATATTTTTATTACAATTTAATTTAATTTTTTTTATTTTCTTGTTATTTTTATTAAAATTAAATTAAATTTAATTTTGGTTCTACTTATTTATATTTTCATTATAATTTAATTTAATTTCTTATTATTTTCATGGTATGTAAATTAATTTAATTATTTTTTTTTTTGTATTTTCTTGTTATTTTTATAATATATAAATTAAGTTTTGGTTCAATTTATTTATATTTTTAATATAATTTAATTTAATTTTTTTATTATTTTTATGTAAATTAATTTAATTTTTTTTTTATTTTCTTGTTATTTTTTATTTATATTATAAAATAATTTATTTTATTTTAATTCTTTTTATTTTAATTATAATTTTGTCTTAAATATTTTTATTATATTTTAATTTTTTTAATTTATTTTTATTATAATTATAATTTAATCGATTACTTTTTTAATATATTTATTATTATTAATTTGTTTTTTATTTATCTATTATTTTGGTATTTTTTTAAACTATTTTGTTTTTTATTGTTTTTAATATTTTTTAAATTATTTGAATTTTTTTAAACATTTTATCAAAATATTTAACGCAATTTTTCTTTAAAAATCACCACTATTATATTATTAACAAACAAAAGTTTCCAAGCTATGCTCAAAAACAATTAACGCTAGTGAGTTGTTACTATTTGTAAGATAACAGAACAATAAAATATAATTGTTTTTGTGTGTTCTCAATGGCAGGATATTAATACTTTTTTACCATTATTGACGACATTTGATGTATCGAAATGTCAAATAAATAAATATGTATTGAGTGTTAGAACATATATTGTCATGAGCAAAAAAAAAATAACGGTGCTATTGATTTTACCATCCCAACAAAACGAAAAATTCTCTTTCGCCTCGCTTATTCATTATATGGAAGGCGGAAGATACTGCGTAGAATAATTACTTCTGTCACTTTTGAAATACTCTTCGTTCCTCTGGTAGGCGTAATGTAATGAGTGCAATAATTATTCCTATACTATTTTTAACCATTCTTGAAGAATTCGGAGTGGAATGTCAATAATAATCATATTTTTGCTACTCCAATTTATAACCCTGGAATAGAATTGCCAATTGTGTAATATAATGTTTTATAAATCATTCCCTTAGAAGGGGTAAAGTAGCATGTCTGTAATAATTATTCCTACGCTGCTTTAATTTATTTTTCTGCTGCTGCTGCTCTGCCTCATACCTCTATTTATATGTAAATTCAATTTTTTTCTTAATCTTTTTTTTTTAAATAGAATGCGGAGTGGAATGTCTCTGTCAATCCAACTTATTACCCAAGAAGATGGTTAATAATGAGTAGATGAATTATTATTTTTACTTCCCTACTTGATTCTCCGAAAGATAGAGGAATACTAATTCTGCAACAATTGGTCACTTGGAAGGCGGTTAGTAATGTGTATGTAAATAATTTTTGCACTTCTCCAACCTCTTCTTCTACTATAAGGAAAGGAATGTATGAAATAATTATTCGTTCACTTCCCGGCAGGCGGTTAGTAATGAGTAAAAAGAAAATATTTTTTCTGAACGCTCTTGATCAAAATAATACTAAGTAGAACTACAGTGTAATTATTTTTTCGCTGCTCTAATTTGTTCGCCTGGAAGGCAGTGAGTAATGATTATAGCAGTACTTTTTTTTGCTTCTCCAATTAATTCTTCGGAAAGCAAATTAATGATATTCCAGAAGCAATAGATTGACTGGAAGGCAGTGTTTTGTTATAAATTTTATCGCTTTTCTCAATCATTATCTCAGAACGGGCAGAGTTATGTCCATATTCACTTCTTTAGAAGGCGAAGAGTAAGGTGTATAGATTTATTTCTCGTCTTCAAGTCGGTCATAAAGAAGGAATGGAGTAATAACTGCATTTGGTAGTTAGAAAAATAATATTTCTTAAAACTTATGATTAGAAGACAGTGCGTAATGAGTATAGGATTTCTTTGTTTACTTTTTTAACTCATTCTATCGGTAGTTATGATAATATATAATTTGGAAATATTTTAGTTGGAAGGCAGTGCGTAATGGGTACACAAATTTCCTTTCCTCAAGAATGGAGTGAGATATATTCTCATGTGTATCTAATTTTTTCCCTTGGACGGCAGGAGTACAACAATTATTCTTTCACGTCTCCAACTGATTTCTTCGTTAGTAAGGTGTATCGAGTTATTGCACTTCCTTCAAGCTATTCCTTCAGAAGGTTAGGTATGAGCTTTCCTTTAAATATTACATGAAAATTAAGTCATTCTGAACTACTTCCCTAGTAATGACTTTTGGAAGCAAGTTAAACACATTACAATACATCTTCCTGATAATGAATTGAGCAGATTAAAAAGAGAGAGATATAAAGAGAAGAGAAAGAGGGAGAAAAGAGAGGGAGGTATAGAAAAAGAGAGAGAGAGAGAGAAGGAAAGCTATTTATGCAATTTGAAGTAAATATTTTATCGCACGCTAGCGTTTGAAAATCTATTATATTTTCTTGCTCAAAAAAATACTTAAAATCTAACTATATACATATGTATATGAAGAAGCTGAATTATCCCTTTTATAGTAAAATCTTTTGTAGCCATAAAAGTTATGGGAAAAGTTGTTAAGGTATGTTGAAAAAAAAGTCAGTTGAAATATTCTTCATTAATTATTTTTATTATTTTATATATATATATATATATATATTGTAGTGGATTCACAAACTGTTGTATGTATGTATGTATGTATGTATGTAGTAGTAGTAGAGAGGTATTGAATTTGTATTGTATATTGAATTGAATTGTAGTCCTGAAATAGTGCAAATTAGTGAGTTGAATTAGAAAATGAAAAATATAGTACAAGCGTAGAGAGGGAATTTGGGCGTGAAAATGTATGTAAATGTATGTTTATGAAAGATTTTCAATAATCTTGTTGCTATTGTTGTTGATGTTGTTGTTGTTATAGTATTGAATGTTATACTAAAATTTATTTAAGGCATGCAGTGGAGGGCTGAGCGTAGGAAAATATTGAGCTGAGAAGGTGAAAAGATTTTTAACAACAATTTTAAAAGTTAACTGTATACAATACATATTTACATGCAAAATAAATTGAATATATTTCTTAAAATGTATAATGAAAACTGTGAAAATATTTATATGAATTTTTTTTTTAATTTTTGTGTCTTCAATTGAGGACTAATTTGTGGTTATGTTGAGGCTATTGAGGTTGGAATGAATAGTCTACGCAGAATTTAGTTTTTTTTAAAATCCTGAATTTACCATTTATATAGAAAACGAGTTAGATTAAAATTCCAATATAGAAAAAAAGTACAGAGTCGCAACGAAATCCACAAATCGCTAGTCGGCCGCAGCTGGTGAAAAGATAAAGTTTGCTCGCAACATACAAAGAAGTTGGTTTGGCGTTCGTATATTACGCTGCACCGACTTGAGCGTCGTGGACTAGCGATACGCAGATGAACACCGCCTTCAGGACCATAACAGGATAGCTCCTAAAATCACCGGAGCATCACAACATATTTGCTACGAGTTTAGCAATATACCACCTTCGGGAGCAACCCAACATACATATAATTGAGACTTAACGTCCACCTGAGCACACTAAGAAGTGACTGCAAAC